TAATGGTATAAATTAATCTATAATTTTAAAACTCAAATCTAAATCATTAAATCCAATCAAATAGTTTAAATTTCCAATGTTCTTTTCACTAAGTGAAGAGAAACCACCTTAACATAGTGTTTGGTTTTAGTGTGGGAAGTGGAAGGGGAAGGGAAATGGAAAGAGGGAAGGGCAGGCAGGAGAGGGGTTTGAGGAGAGGAGGTATTTTAATCATTATTGTTTAGTTCAGAAAGGAAGGAAAGGTTGGCTAATTATAAATTGATAAATATGCACTTATGTTATTTTATTTTATTTATTTTATAAAAATATTTATATCATATTTTTAAAAAAAATTAGTCGTAAAATCTTTTACCTCATTTATTTATGATATAAGGCCAAAAAATTTTTTTATAACATATTCTTGTAATAGTTTTTAAAAAACGTTATTTAATTAATCTTAATGACATAACCTGTTATTTCATTAATTTTAATTTACTTTTTGATAGAAGAATATATAAAGATTGTAATTGAATATAAATATGCAATAGTTAGTAGTAAATAATCGATAATAGGATGATATAAATAGTGTTGTATTTTTATTTAATTAAAACAGTGGTAAATATTAAAATGCAGCAAAGTTAATAAAGATAATTTAGTCACAAAATTTTCATCCCTTCCAAAACACCCAAATCAGAGGAGAGAAAAATAAGAGGAGGGGAGGGAGAAAATTTGTCTTCCCTCTCCTTCAAAATCATCTAACCAAATCAAATGTAAGAATTTAGTTTGACAATTTTTTATAAATTGAGTGTTGATAAAAATTTGGATCACCAAAAAAGAAAATAAGCCCAACTAGGCCCAATCTTCTTTTGACGAATGGGGTCGTCCATCAAAGATGGGTTGGTCTAGAATAGCATTCTTTTAATCATTCTCCATGTATTTTGTAGATATTCAATTGTTCATGCTACTTTACTTTACCTTGTTTATCCAAAAAAAAAAATTACGTTTTTTTCCAATTATTTTTTGTTTTAAAACGTTAAAATCATAAATATATGTTTTTTAGAAAAAATGTTAAGTTATACTTATTATTTCTCTGACATCTACAGCACTAGAAAATATGTTTAATTATAAATGTTTTTAAGTGAGTAAAATATTATAACCAATCTTTTATTTTGCCTTAGTAACACAGATCTCTCATTTATTTTAAAAATACACAATTTAGATCAATCCATTAACTTCTTTACAAATATTCTAAAAACATATTTACAAATTTTAAATATTATATTTACATTATTTATATAATCTATTGGATTTTCATGTTATGTTATATGGTGAGCAAAAATATGTTTTTTGAAATTTTAAAAAACAAAAATAAATAAGTTTCAATAAATTTGATAAAAATTTAAATAATAAAATTTTATAATATGATAAAAATTAATAAATTTTATAATATAATAAAAATTGAAAATGTATTTATCATATTTTTTAGATGTGTACAAAAAATATTTTTTGAAAAATATAAAATTTTAGAAGATTCTTATATTAAAGAGGGACACTTTGATCAAATTAAAAGTTTAACCATCAATTAACAATTGGATGGATGAAAATAAATCTCAAATATACAAAGATGTTTGTGTGACATATATTTTAATTTTAAGGGAGGTTGGTATGCTTTTTCAAAATAGATGGAAGATTTGAGTAATTAAATCGTAATAAAAGAGTAATCACTGTATTTTACTTTTTTTGAATTAAGACCAAAATATTTGACACTCCTACAACTTAAGTGAAGGGCTAAAAGGTAATTTTACCATTTAATAAGACGCAGACAAAGCAAAGCTTTGTACAAAATGAATAATGATATAATCATGTAGTTTTTAATATAGTTTTAAAAACTCTACCAAACCAACTAGATCAACCAATTGAATTGTAAACTGGAAAATTAATAAATTTCAGTTTTAATATAATTATAAATTAAAAATTAAAAATTTTTTAAATATTTAACAGGATATTTCTAACAATGTTTAAGATTGAACTAAATTGTAGGTTTTAAAATGGAGAGAACATCCTGTAATTTTAGCAAAATAGAAGGAGGGTCAGTATATTTTTTTATAAGTTTTATTGTGAAAAAGAAAATAATAGGAGGAAAATGTAATTTTCTTTTCTATTCTTTTTTTACCAGCATTTTCTTTTCTATTTTATTCTTTGTGTGTGTGCGCGTGTATGTATATAATAGTATGCAGTATATACTAAGCTGATATGAATTCAGATTCCAAACTTTTACAATACAAGATAATTCGCATTTAACGGATATTAAAGAGGCCAATTAATTAATTAATAATTAATTATGATAATCTGACCCCAATTTTCAAAGAGATGTAACGTTACGTTTACAGATGAAACAGTGGCATATAATTGGCATTAATTAGAAACTATATTCATGCACCAATGATACCCTAATTTTGTCAAAAATATTCGCATCTCTCTTTTTGATTCATACAATTAAATACCAAAAAACCAAAATTTAAAACACCTAAAAGTAAAACGGATGGCATTTATCATAAGTCCAGATTCTTTGCATATATTTAATAATAAGCATATTTATAATGTATGCATTTCATTTGGACAATCTAATCTAAATTTAATTTGAAAGGTCTTGATATATGTTACTATTTTTTTATTTTTGATCTTTTAAATTTTTAATTGAAATAATCTTTTTTAGATAACTATTTCCTCCTTTAAAAAATATAACGCACTTTTTTAAAGAATTAAATGTTTAAAAATATAAGGTATTTTTATTTTAAATGTGTAATTAATATGTATTTCTTGTAAAGTATTTATAATAAACAAAAATAAATATAAAAAGATAGTATTAATTTAAATACAATTAACTACTTTATTGAGAAGTGAGATTCAATTAAAAATATTTTATGTATATTTTTTAAATGGGGAGTAATTAAAATTTTATTTATTTTGTGTGAAAATGTAAAAAAAAAAAAATCATTTTAAATTAAGTAAAAACATATAAGGATCTACATCTAAATTTGCTTTAAACAATCTATAATTGATATGTCATATGTATATGCACACATATGAGCATAACAAGATCCAATCTAAAAGACAAAATACCTCATATGTGATAAATTAGTGAATATATTACATGCAATAGCTTATTTTGATTGTGATTTTTTTGACCTTCAAGATATATAGTTATTAAATTATTTATCATCTGATTATTTCAAGTATAATTTTTACAATTTTAAAAGACAGATATCTCCACCTCTAAATTCGTACTATAACAATATTGTTCATAAAATACTTCCTCTATCGCTCATCATGAGTAATGGTTTTGATTTAATAGCTAAGACTTTATAAATATTTTTTAATGTAACTATTTCAAAGTCAATTAAATTGAATTAGTTCAGGACCTCTATGTTCACAATTTGAGTGCAAACAAATATATACTTTTTTCTCACTCTTTATTACAATTACAAAACAAAATAGATAGAACTCGGGAGTCAAGACAACTAATTTTGGTAGCATTTTTCTTCGCCGTGCTCGCTTTATTATTTTTTTTATCTCAAGAAATCGACATATAGATATAAATTTATCACAGATTTCAGACCAAAAAATATTCTTTTTTGATCAACAAGATAACAAATATTCGATCTATGCTTTTCCTTCCTTTTTAGTTTTTGTTTCCAAATTTTCTAATCGTAAATCCGTAATCATATTTTGATCAAACTAAAAAAAGTCAACTGATTACTATTACTAATTTTCGTACAACAAAATACTGACCAATTTGCATGGTTCAAAGTACAAACTATTTCTTCTTCTTCTTCTTTTTTCCGGAGAAAAAAAAAATTCTTAATTTTGAAGCTCAGTACTTTCATCCCATCCATTAAAAAATGACGATTAAAATGAGCCTCATCTAACTTAAAACTACAGCAAAAATGGAAACTATAAGAAGAGTATCCAATATTGTATTGATTAATTTAAAATTCAAATGGAAGATTTTTCTTTTTGAGTAAATAATTTTATGTATGTATGTATGTATATCTGCATATCATTTTTTTGGCCAATAATGCTTATTAATTATTGCTATAAGCTGACATGAATCAGAATTCAAACTTTAAGAAATAAGATACTGTACATCTTACGATTGAAGAGGACTGTTAATTGTGAATTACTTAATATTTAATGAATAATTAGTTATTTATAATTTATTATGATAATAATCTGATCCTATGTTCAAATGTTTATAACTCAAAAGCCTAATAAAACAGAACGGCACGTAAAAAGCCACGCACCAATCAATGATTCCGGATTTTTTTCTTGACCGGATTCTCTGTATATGTCTTTTAGGATATTCATAATTTATAATTATAATTATAACATATATATATATATATATTATAGTGATAATCTAAATTTAATTTGAATTATATTATAATATATATATATATACACACACACTATCGTGATAATCTAAATTTAATTTGAAAGATTTGGATCTTACTTTTTTTTTATTGTAATAATATTTTTATGTATGACTTGAAAATTTGTTTATTGTGTATCAAAACATAAAATTAATATCCAATGAAAAAACATAATAAGCGGTTTGTTCTAGAATATTTAAATTTAATTTAATTAATCAACCTTTCTTTACCGGCAACTTTATACAACTTTGACTTATTTTCTTGCATGCACCGTGTGTGTGTACATAAATCCAATCTAAAAAGCAAAACATATCTTATGTAATCTTATGTAATAAATTGCAAAATATATCATGTGTAATAAAATATTTTGATGCTATGATCAAATTATAAAATCAGCTTAGGAAAAAAAAACAGAGAGAAAATCATCAACGATGAAAAGCAAAATCAAAATCTCTTAATTAATTATTTCGTAATTAATTTTGAAACCCTTAATTTTCTCCTCCATCATTATTGCGATGTCTATTTCTTCTATATATAACCAACGTTTGGTCCTTCATTTACATATATCTTCAACGTAACACACAAAATATGGCAAAAGCTTATACTCTTTCTGTTCTTTCAATCACCTTCTTCTTCCTTACCTTCACCATATCTCTCTCTGAGTCCTCCAACGGCGGCTTCACCGTCGACCTCATCCACCGTGACTCACCAAAGTCACCCCTCTCCACTCCCAAAACGATGCCGTTCCAATACATCCACGACGCCATTCGCCGTTCCACCCTGCATGCAAGCTATTTCTTCCCAGAAGCTGATCATCATCAGTCCCTAAACGACGTCGCTGAGTCCGATGTCGTCTCCGTCAGAGGCGAATACGTCATGTCGTATTCCGTCGGCACGCCGCCGTTCGAGATCTTTGGGATCGCCGACACTGGCAGTGACCTAATTTGGACTCAGTGTAAGCCCTGTGATGAGTGTTACAACCAAACAGCACCATTGTTCGACCCAAGGAATTCTAGAACCTTCCAGAAAATTCCTTGCTCTTCACAACAATGCTCGTCCGTACATTCCTCCGTAGGACAGACCACCTGCGATGCTTCGAGTGTCTGTGGATACAACGCAGTCTATGGGGATTCCTCGACTTCGAATGGAGACATAGCGATAGACACGATCACACTTGGGTCATCCAGCGGCCGCCGCGTGGCGTTCCCGAAGACCGTGTTTGGCTGTGGGTTTAGTAACAGGGGTACTTTTAATGAGAAGACTTCTGGGATTGTTGGACTTGGAGGAGGTTCGGTCTCGCTGGTCTCACAGATTGGTTCTTCCATCGATGGAAAATTCGCGTACTGTTTGGTTCCACTTACGTCTGATAAAAACACGAGCAAGTTGAGTTTCGGTCAAAACGCTGTCGTTTCGGGTCCTGGTACTGTCTCTACTCCTATAGTTCCTGGACGCACGTCCACTTTCTATCTTCTTACGTTGGAAGCCATGAGTGTTGGCGACAAGAGATTCGAGTTCACTTCTTCAGGTGATTCAATTCATTCTTAGTAATTACATATATATAGCATATTTCATTTTCGTTCATTTTCTTGGCAAAAAACTTGTTGTAATAATTTTTATCGTCTAGTAATATTACATGCTTCTAAATATTGTGGAAGTTTTGAAGAGGGAGTGATATTTTTCAAGGGAAAATCTGTACATTAATAATTGTGTCGTGCAATATTATTTCATGTTATCTACAATGGAATAATTAGGGTTTATTGCATGAAGGTTAATTATTTGTGTAAAATGCTTTGGGTTTAATCTCTTTTTCGCTCCTTTTCGTCATATTTTTCATCTGAATTGCAAAACTTAATATCGTCCCATGCATTGTCTACGTGTTTATTTTGCCTGGTTAGGGACCTTTTTTATATTTTTTTTCAAGAATTTATGGGACTATATATAAGCGAAAAGACTAAGTAGGGTTTATTATTTCATGCATGAAGGTGATGGAGCAGTGTCAGAGGGAAACATAATAATCGATTCAGGAACAACACTGACACTTTTACCTGAAGATTTTTACTCGAATCTGGAATCAGAAGTTGCATCACAGATCAAGCTTGAACGTGCTAGGGTTCCTCAAGATCTATTGAATCTCTGTTACAGATTGCCTTCAGATAATTCCTTTGAAGTCCCCACCATCACTGTTCATTTCAAAGGTGCAGATTTGAAGTTGAACTCGTTCAATGCCTTCGTTCAGGTCTCTGACGACGTCGTTTGCTTCGCTTTCAAGGCTTATCCTTCTGGCTCCATCTTTGGCAACGTGGCCCAGATGAATTTTCTTGTTGGATATGATCTTCAGAAAAAGACGGTTTCATTCAAGCCCGTGGATTGTACAACGAAGATGTGATTCGTTTTGTTTTGTTTTGTTTTGTTTTTTTTTTTTTGGAGGAAATTAAGATTCTAAGTTTAGTCTATTCTGGTTTAATTGTTGTTTTAATTTTCTAGTATAGTCGTGTGATGTGATCTCCAGAGATTGTCTTTGAATTCTCAGTTAATATTTTGAATTAATTTACTGAATTTCCAGATACATTCTGAAGTATCTAAATTGAATTCTTATTAGCTATGGTAATTGTTTAGTCGTTTCGATCGACAAATATAGAATGAATACTTTTTAACAAGTACTTTGAAAAATGTTAGGTGCGCAATGGTTGGGTATTTACATAATATTCACGCGAATCAATAATTTGTTTAATATTTAGAAATTTAAGCTTTATGGATGGAAGAAACCAAAATTTCATAGCCAATCTGAATTTTAAGCTTAGTATAATGTTTGTAGAATTTATATTCTAACCAACCAAAACAGGACATCTTGCAAAATTTTAATCTGAGGTGGCACTTGGCATTTATTTTTTTAAAATAACTGAAGTTCAATTTGAATGAATTATTTTAATCTTTAATTTTTTTTCATCAACCCTCTCTTCTTTATTAGTAGCTGATCATCAATCACTCAATCACCTGTTTCTTCTCCCCCTTACAATTTTAAACCTCATCCTCTTTGGATTTTACCCTTATCTCTATAATGACGATGATTCCTCATCCAATATTATCACATACAACCACTAACGATTCCAACCTCATCACCTTCAATTCTTCAATCGGCCACAAATTCAAACAAAACCAAAAAAAAAATCCAAGTCTAACCTCGTAACAACATCCTGGAAATTTTATTATATGGGCTAAACCCATAATTAAAGAAAGAAGAGAGGAGAGGAAGAGATGGGAATTGTCTGATTGTGCAAGTGACGTGCGTAATCAATGGCGACACCAACTATCAATTCTCAAACTAAGGGACGACGAGTGCATTCAGTGGTAAGGCAAGAGAAAAAGGGTTTAGTTGAAGGAGAGAAGGAACAGAGTTTTCATGAAGAAACTTGATTAAAGTTGTTTATTTCAAATTTGATTTTTAGAACCATTCGTTACTACATTTTGTAGCAATTAAAAATGAAATAGTACTAATATTAAAGCCAAAGATTTTAGGTGACGTTTCTTATATCAAATGCCATACTTATAAATTATTCTTTTCATTTACAATTTTAGTAAATAATAAGATGTGGTGTTTTTAAATCAACTGTCACAGCTTCTTGTGGATCAATAACTAGTTAGCATCTGAACAATAAAATTTTTGTCCCATTTGATGTATGAAAATTTAATTTTATTTGATTTTGATAATTTTTAATTGTTTATGACATCTTATTTAATATATTTTATAGTTAAAGATTGGTCATCTTTTGTTTTGAATTTAGTATGCCAAAACATTGGTAATTGTTGAATAATTTTGTAAGATTAGTAATCGTTGGACCTTGTTATTAGACTACTTGGAAAACTTGGATATATTAATATAATTATAAATTTGTTTGTTATATTGCTAAGACATGCTGTGTACCTTTTTATTATATAATTAGATTGTTTGTAAATTGCTGAACTAATTATATATTGCTTGATCTATTGTACAAGTGAAAAAATTAGGTGTAAAAAATAACATTAGATAATGTTTCTTAGATATTAAAATCCACTTATGTAGTTTTATATCTTCACTTATATACCTTTTAATTTAAAAAAAATAAAAGAGTGAAGAAATGCCATCTCTTCAGCTTTTAACTTTTTTAAAAAATTAAAGAGGTGGCATTTTCACCCTACATAAATGCCACCTCTATAGTATTAATTTAATAAAAAGATTAAATCAAAGGGTTGGCATTTCCACACACTACTACAGAATAAGCTTATAGGAGTGCTTTTTTTTTACCTTAGGAGTGCTTTTGAAGCGCTCCCGTATCGAGCGCTCCGAAATTTACAGGAGCGCTTTTTTTAAGCGCTCCTATATGTAAGCTATACAGGAGCGCTTTTCTCCTGTAAGTGTAACATCCCAATTTAAATTTTAATAGTTAATTTGGGTTAATAAAAATTTTAAAAAATAAAATAAAATATTTAGAGGTAAATAAATTAGTAAAAAATGATCATTAAATCTAACTTAGGATATAATTCTAAATTAAATTTTTTTTTAAAAAAATTATTATTAATTAATTAAAAAATATATTATTAAATTATTATTATAAAAAAAAGGTATGCAAAAAAAAGAGAGAGAGAGAAGAAGAAAAAGAAAAGTTTGCTTCGCCGCCTCAATAGTAAAATAAAATAATAATAATAAAAAAAGAAGAAGAAGAGAGAGGAAATAATTAAAAAAAATGTGGAACCCACTGAATTTTTTATAAAAACTCACATGTTCCTTCATTTCTTCATTCCTTCTTTCGTGCGTGAGCTGAGGCAGAGAGAGAGCATCTGTGAGCCAAATTCACCGGTGCTGGGTTTTAAGGTAAGAGTTTTTAATAGGATATTTAGGGTCTGATTTTAAGCTTTTTAAGACTAAGTAAGTGTTCTAAAATTTTTTCTTAGTCATCTTTCTTCTTTGGTTTCTGATTTTGTAGTGGTAGAAAATTTAAGATCTGGAAGAGGGATGAATTTATGTTGAATAAATATGGTTTTTGAGGTTGTTAGTAGTATAATAAATATTCTAGAGTATAAATTTATTGGTGATCTTTGAATTTGTGGCTTATGGGTCAAATTCTAGACTAGATCTGAAAATATATGTTGATTTATTGAGGTTTAGATGATTATTTGGGATGAGAAATGAATTATTATGGTTATAGGATTATGATTCTAAACTAGAGACTCAATTTTTAATTTTTGAGTATTTTAGGTATGAATTTATGAAATAAAAAGAAAATTTTGATAATAGAAATTAGTTTAGAAGTTGATTTTTAGATTATTAATGTTTATTGATAATTAAAAGAGGAGTTAAAAATTTTACTTAATAGTATTAACAATAGATTTGTATTAAGATTGAAATTAGGAATTATGTTATATCTTTAATTCTATTATTAGAATTATTTTATTAGTTTCAAAAATTGAAACTAATATTTATAAATAATATGTTATTTTGTAGATTGTATTACTGGTGAAGATTGTGGTGAGAGAGAAATTTTAAGGAATAATTTATTAAAAAAGCCACAAGGTAACCATGCTTTTAATTTGTGATTAGTGTTACTTCATGTTAATTGGGTGATTATTGAGAAATTATGAATTTTGTAATATTGTATAATTGTACAATATTATTATGAATTTGTTTATTTATTGTGGGAGGTGTTGGAAGACTTGCTATTATTGTTGTATTTATGTGCCACGTGGTACGCCCCTATTGGAGCTCAATAGGTGGCTTGTAAGGGCTCGGGCTAATCTACCTTTGGCCGGGTAATTTAGCACCGAGTGAGAGCTACGGCTCGAGGTTAATGGAGGGATATAAGGATGGTTGTTTGTGTTTATTATAATATTTCTTATAATTGTTGGAATTATATTATTTTTAATTCTCACTTAGTAAGCACACACTTAACTGTTTGTATACACTATCATAAATTGACTTTGGTTACTGGGACTTTTGAGTCTCATTATGTGGTTAACAATTTTCAGGAGAAGAGCCACGAGTGACACGTGGAGGAGTCCCAGAGGCTTAGTGGTATAGATCCACTGTCTCTTTTGGGTATTTAATTTATGATTTATAATGTGTTATATTGCCAATATTAGGGCTTTTTTGTTTATTGTCAATTATATGAATATATAAATGTAATCATGCCTTTCAAACTATTTCTATTTTTGGTACAATTTGGATGACTGTAATTTTAATATTTGGTTTACTTTGGATTGGTTAAAATGGCATGATTATAAGGCCAAATAACTGGCTTGTGTTGAAAATTGACTAAATTGCTTATTTTACTTGTTGGGAGTATAAGGATGGACAAATATGATTTAGTTTACTTGTTGGGAGTATAAGGATGGACAAATGTGATTTAGCCTAATGGCATGTGGGAGGTAAAAATTTATCTGAAATGTTATAGTGTGTGAGTTGAAGCCAATTATAAAATATTTTATATCAAAATTATTGATATAAAAATGTGTTGGGTGTCTGTAACCCAACTATGGTTGAGTTAAATTATTTAAAAAAAAAAATTTGGTGTGTTACAGTAAGAGCCGTCATGTACGGGAGCGCTCTGAGCACTCCTGTATGATGCATACCGAAGCGCTCTCTATAGGAGCGCTCCCGTATGCTAAGCTTACTGGAGCGCTCTTTACAAGAACGCTCCTGTATTCCCCGAGCGCTCTCGTATGACGACAACTTATCGGAGCGCTCTTTTAAAGAGCGCTTCTCTAAGTTTTTTACAGGAGCGCTCTTCAAATAAGAGCTCCCATATATTATATTTTTTTAAAATTAAATTTTTCAAATTTCTACATTTAAATATCTTTAATAATGGCAAATCATAATATCAAAAACTAATTTAAAAATAATATCAACATAAAAATTTTATATACAAGAAAAAAATTTGAAACTGATACAACAATTTTAATTTTCTAACCAACCTAGTTTAATTTCTAACAAGCCTAACAAATGAAACTATTGTTATTTTTTTAACATTGAAATCTAACTTCCTATCACAAACAACCAATAATATATTCTGACCATTCTTCAACTAAATCTTCTATTTGCTCTATAGTAAAATGCGAATATCTTGCTCCAACAAAATACTACACAAGATATGAAAGCAATATATAAGTAATTAACATTATATTAACTTAATTTCAAAGCTTTTAACTTACATTTTCAGGAATGATCAACTCTTGTTGTGTGATTATTTCTCTCATAAACTTCATAACATAGTGTCCACACTCCCAACCTTGTAATTGTGTAGGTACCTATAAAACAGTAAAAGATGTCATTTATATGGTAGAAATAAATTCTAACTTAATTTAAAATACTTCAATGATGAAGTTATATATATGATACAAGTATTTATTGTCGAAAATCCGGCAGAGTCTCCCCTTATAACTTGGAAGTTCTAGAATTTTCCAAAAATTCTACATTAATCCAGAATAACATATTCAGAATAACAAACATAAAATATTAATCAAACAATCATTTAGATATGTACCAACTTGTTTTATTAAGAAAATAATACAAATCTTTATTCTTTTCCAATCATATCAATCATTTCATCAAGACGGTCAACATCATATATCCCATTATCACGATCAAATGTTGAGTAGCTCGCACTATCCCTCCAATCACTTGCATTATTCCTTGTCTCCCCATGCATGGTCCAACAAGTATAAGTTGGATCAATTCCATTACATGTTAAATGATCTTTCAATTCTATTGGCTTTACTCTTTTTCCATAGCAACATTTCAAACAAGGGCATATGACTCCACGGGAGTCTTGATCACAATAAAATTTAAATTCAATAAATTCATCTACACCATCCCAATATTCTCTAGATAGTCGATTAGCCGACATCCACTTACGATCCATGTCACTAATATGATTACCAAAATTCAATAAACAAAAGACTTAGATTTCTATAAAAAAAATTCAACAGCATCTTCCTTAAAAGAACAATCTCCCAAATGATCAAACAATCAAATTTCACAACACAATACATCTAAACTAAAAAAATAATTCATCCAAATAAAAATTAGTACCATAATGCATCTAAATTCTGTCAATCAATTGTAATTTAATTAATAATAATAATCTCCCATAAAAGTATATTTCATAAATAAAATAAAAATGTTCAAGTAGTTTCCTCAACTTTAATCTAAATTATCAACTACAAATACTCCATAATTTTAATATAAATAACTTCAATTCATATATTATCTATAATATTTATTATTTAAAAAATATTTAAAATTTATTCTCAAATATATATAAATTAATTATTAAAAAAATACCTTCAAAGTGTAGTCTTCACGGCAGTAGCAACATCGATTCCTCTGCTGTACAGTAGCGGCGCACAGCGGTAATGGAGGTCTTCACGGCGTCCCTTCCTCCGGTGTACAACAGCAGCACAGATCTGCAACAGTAATACAAATCTGGAACAGACATGCAGATCTGGAACAGCAGAACAGATGGAGGCGCAACAATGGCACGGCGGTGGCGACGCAGAGATCAGACAACAACGGCGCGGCGGCAGCGACGCAGAGATCGGATAGCAACTGCGCGGTGGCGGCGACACAGAGACCGGATAGCGATGCGATGCAGAGATCGGATGGCGACAGCAACGGCGACGCGGCATAGAAACAGAGAGAGATGCGCGACACAGAGAAGGAATGAGAGGCAACAAAAGAGAGAGAGGTTTGAAAGAAACTAAATGGAGAAAAGAAAACTAATGGATGGATATAATGTGGGAAGACTCTTCCGGAGCGCTAATGAGCGCTCTGGAAGAAGCTATTCCAGAGCGCTGGACGAAGAGCGCTCTGGAAGCTCTTTGTCGAGCGCTCCGGAAGAGTGCTTCTTCCGGAGTGCTCTTCTTCGAGCGCTTTGGAAGGTTTTCTTTTGGAGCGCTCTTGAACGAGCGCTCCCAAAGGTATTTTTAAATTTTTTATCATATTTTATATATATTAATTAGTAGTGTTATCTTATTGAGAAGCCTGACATACAAGAGCGCTTATTTAGAAAAGCGCTCCGGTAAATTTTGCATTCACATTTTGAAGTGCTTTTTAAATAAGCGTTTCTAAAGATATATTCTGTAGTAGTGAGATTGAAGAAACATCACATCTTTTAATATCAATATTTAAAAAAAATTATAGAAGTGGTGTTTATCCCTCAAGGAAACGTTACCTCTGTTGATCAAAAGAGGAAGAGAAGTAGTGTTTCAAACATGAGGAAAGGCCACATCTTTGGTTTTTTTTTTTTTTAAAGAAAAGAAACTCAAAGAGGTGATGTTTGCAAAACCAAAAGCGCTTGCTTGTATTAGATTTTTTATATTAATATGCTTAAGGATTGTATACTCTATCAAAATAGCTTAATCATTTGGTTAGATACTTTTTTTTCTTCTTCTTGCCTAGGCTTAAATTTTTTTTAGTCTTAGAGGCCCTAGGTCTATTTAATTTCTTCTTCTTTCTTTTCTTTTTTTCTTCTTTTATTGTCTTGTAGATTTTTTTTCATCTTTCATTTTTTTCCTCTTTTTTTTCTTTTTTTTTATCCCAATGAATGCCTCATGATACTATATTAAATTTTTTGTATTAAAAATGTTGAAGGATTGTATACTCTATCAAAAATAATTTAAGCTATTTGGTTAGATATTTTTTATATTTATATATCCATGATCTATCTTCTAATATTAGATGTAGGACTTCTTTTTATACTCTAATAGCTTTTACATCAATCTTGTGGGATCTATTATAACATTCAATCTTATAATGTTTTATAAATACCACGAAAGTAAAATCTTTAACTCCACCAAAGTCCACTTTATAATGTAATAAAATAATATAAATAAAGTAAATGATAGGTAGGTTGATAGGTGGGATTAAATTAAATAAAGTGTCATGTTTTAATTTGACAAACCACATATGAGGTAGTACATCTGGTTTATTTAAAAATTTCTCAAGGTTAGAAATTAAGAAAAAAAATTCTTCTCATATCTTAGTCATAAATTCCTCTGCACGAATAGTTGGCAGCCCGATTTAGATTTTTTTAAAAAAAATTACTCTCCCCTTTTCAACCTCAAAGTATGGCCTTCTTTGATTTAGACGTATGTAGTAATGTTTAAAAGTTGAACCGAACAATAAATTGAAAAAATTAACAGGTCACGGATCTTATAGTTTAATCAGTTACATAATAATTAAATAAAAAAATAACATTTATATATGTATATATTAAAAATCGGTAAAAACAGTTCAACCATTTTAAATCATAGGTTTTTACTTTGAATTTTCAAGAACAGCTCAAGTCAACTATAAAACAGGTCAAGTGATTGAATTAGATAGTTTTTTTTTTTTTCCAAAAGATTATTCAACTAGTCCGACCGTCCATGTTTAAAAACAATGGTATGTAGATGAATACTTGCCTTCTCTCGCAACAATTGCAAACTTTAGTTATTAGTATTGAGGAGCAAGTGCTTGTCAAAGTATGGACATGGACGAATTGTTTTGGGAAAAAAAAAAAGAAAAAAAGAGTCAAGTTGCCTAGTAGACACGGGATTGACTAATAAGATATAAATAATGATTTGAATAATTGAAAATACTGGCTCATAGAAGCTTCCTTGTTAATGGGCTGAGTTCGTGCTTCGCGCCTTACCCCAGCATATTCGGAATTCTATAAAAATATTCATTTAATACATGTAGCGCTTTTTTCTGGCCTGAATTTAGTAAATGCACTATTTTTTTTACGGGAAAATTTAATAAATGTACTTATCAGTAAAGAAAAGCAGTCTAATTATTATATAATTGTGTCAGAAATTAAGCTACAAGAAAACAAGAATTTTTCATTGAGAGAGAAAATGATAACTGAAGAAAGCAACTGTAAAGGAATTATTCCACAGATGTTGCCATCAATACTGTTCTAGAAAAATCTTTTGTAGTATAAAACTCTCAATTTTAATTTTTATTATTATTTTTTCCTCTGAAAATCCCTAGTGGCACTCTTCTTTCTATTCTAAGTTGTAACTTTCCAATTATTGCTTGTTTTTTCAACCTTTCCCATCATTGTTTGTTCATTGTTGATTTCTTTTTCAACCCACGAGCCTGGCCCACATTCACATCTCCAATTCCTCAATTCTTCCTTTTTTTTTTTTTAAATACCTTTAATCCACCATTCCTCATTAAAAAATGAGATACATGCTTCTGTACAGGGATGCAAAAAAAACTAAACAATATTAAACTTTAATCTAATTTAAAGTCTAGTATCTCTTATAAAAAATATTGAATTAGATAATTC